ACTCCTCGTGATCTCTGCAGGAAGCGACTCGATGACCTGAATCTGGATCCGGACAATGTCTCGAACAAGATGGCACTGCTGAGTAATAGAACAAGATAATTCACCTTTTACCTTTCGGCTCAGGGCATCAGCTACAATATTTGCCTTTCCCGGATGATACTGAATCGTGCTATCATAATCTTTAACCAGCTCTAACCAACGTTGCTGACGCATGTTGAGCTGAAAATATACTGCAGACTCTTGTGATCGGTATAAATCTCGCACCGACCACCATAAAGATAATGCCGCCATATCTTAAGTGCATGTACCACTGCAGCTAACTCCAGATCATGCGTAGGATAGTTCTGCTCGTGAGGCTTCAACTGACGTGAAGCATACGCTACAACCTGGCCGTCCTGCATAAGTACACACCCCAAACCCTGTCTCGAGGCATCACTATAGATGGTGAAACTACAAGAAGGGTCTGGAATAGTCAACACCGGTGTCGTCGTAAGCCTCTCTTTCAGCTCCTGAAAGCTCGACTCACAACGGTCTATCCATTCGAACTTCACAGACTTCCTCGTCAACTGCGACAAAGGGAGGGCAATCTTCGAAAACCCCTCAATAAATCTGCGATAATAACCTGCAAGACTGAGGAAACTACGAACCTCGGATGGATTCTTTGGTGCTGACCAATTCTGAACTGTGGCAATCTTAGAAGGATCAACTTCAATACCTGCCTGAGTAATAATATGGCCAAGAAAAGCCACTCGCTGAAGCCAAAATTCGCATCTAGAGAATTTTGCGTATAACTTTTCACATCTAAGGGTCTCGAGAACAGCCCTCAGATGCTCTTCATGCTCCTTCTGGCTTTTAGAATAAATAAGAATATCGTCAATGAATACAATGACAAACTGATCGAGAAAAGGATGGAATACACGGTTCATCAAGTCCATGAATACTGTCGGGGCATTGCTGAGACCGAACGGCATAACCACGAACACGAAATGACCGTATCTGGCACGAAACGCTGTCTTGGCTATGTCTGACTCCTTGATCTTCAGCTGATGGTAACCTGAACGTAAATCAATCTTGGAAAATACACAGGCACCTCTCAACTGATCGAACAAGTCGTCAATTATGGGAAGCGGATACTTATTCTTGATTGTCCACCGGTTAAGATCTCAGTAGTCAATACACATACGCATAGAACCGTCCTTCTTTTTGACAAACAAGACGGGTGCTCCCCTCGGTGAAACGCTCGATCGAATGAAACCGAGATTCAGCAGCTCCTGAATTTGAGTCTTTAATTCCTGTAACTCTTTAGGTGCCATTCTATATGGCGCCTTAGACACTAGTTTGGCTCCCAGAATAAGATCAATAGAAAACTCCACCAGTCGGCTGGGTGGACCGCCGGGAAGCTGGTCTGGGAACACGTCCACGAACTCACGAATGATAGGAATGTCATGAGGTGTCCGTGCCTTTAGTTCGTCTCCGATGAGGCTCACTAGGTATCCCTGGCAATCACCTCGTCGTAGAATCTTTCTTGCTTTCGCCATAGAAATGATATGGGGCAGAGTACGAGTCCTGGAACCGAAATAAGTGATCTGGTCATCTCCCGAAAGATAAAGAGTAATCTCCCGGTCGTGACATCGGATATCTGCATAAAAACATGTTAGCCAATCCATACCAAAAATGAGGTCAAAGTCCCTCATCTCGATGACATAAACGTCGGTAGTCAATATACGGCCGCTGACAGAAAGGCTAAGACTCTATGCTCTAGCGTAAGTCACTATCTTTCTTCCCGAGGCTAAACTCACCTCGAGAGGATCGATAGCGCTAACAGAATGAACCCAAATGGCGTCAAGACATCAGCGTGATATAATAGATTGGGTCGCCCCGGTGTCGAATAAGGCAAAAACAGGATCATTAAGAATAATCATCCCAGACATGGTACCTGGGTGCTGATCTGCTTCCGCCTAATCGACTGCATAAACGCGGGCCTGCTGTCTCCCACGTTGCTGCTACTGGGGTTGTCGTGGTGGCTGCTGCCTGGGCTGCTGTTGTTGTTGAGGTTGCTGAGGTGGCGGTCGTTGTTGTGGTTGTTGTTGCAGTCGCTCCGGGCAGTTGGGACTGATATGTCCGAGCTGACGACAATCAAAACAAATGTTCTAGCCCACAAGGCATTCTCTGCGATGGTGTCGTCCACATATAGTGCAAGATGGGGTCGGTTATTGTCTGGAGCGGTTCCTGCGGTCGTCCTGGGGTCCTCGGAACTTCCTCTTCCCCTTGTTCTTTGGTTGTTGGGCCGCTACAGGTTGGGCAGGTGTGTAATGCCCCGTTTGTTTATAAATTATTTGGAATTAATTATTGTGTGTATTATATATATTTATATATATTACATAGTATCGTTATTTTTTTTTATCGAACCGAGCCGCATATATAGTCTTATTGATCGAACCGATAAAATCAGGCCCGTGAGCCTTGAATCTTAACAGGCCATGACCCAAACCTATTGCTCTTTCTTTTTGATCATTTGAGTTGATGGCCAATTATTTGCAGTAATAATTCTTTTATTAAGGAAATCAAACCAATATTATTTTCCTTATTAGTGGCAATATTAGGGCCTTTAATCCTCAACCGTTTAAAAATTTTTAAACGTGTATTTCTATCAATCTCTCCACTCTCTCTCCTCGTTATATTTATCAGATTTTTCACAATTCTTGAGGAGAAGAACAAAATTGTTGCTCAGCTTCTCCCTTCTCCCTCCCTCGCCGCGCTATCATCATCGATCACCATCTGCAACTTTCCCGCCTGACCATTATTGTTCCTCTTCACCTCCGATCATCTTCATAAAACCGCAAGCCTGCAACTCCCGACGATTTCATCCTCACCGGCGTGCACCATCGCGAGCCCCTTCATCGCCGTCATCGAACCTTCTCTCTCCATGTTCCAATCTGTCATCGCGCGCCACCATCGGGACGTCATTCCCGGTGAGTTCTCCATCACAGCTGTGCTCCTCCGCAACGACGCCTCCATCACTGCTTCTATTCCGTCACCACGAACCGGCGCTTTCCGGCAAGACCTCCAATCTTTGGTCGTGAGTTTCCAGCCGTCGGGTCCTGTCGAGTCCTGTCGGAGTGCTAAACGTAGCCGTCGAGTCCGGTCGAGTTCCGTCGGAGTGCTAAACGTAGCCGTCGAGTCCCGAGTCCCACCCCGTTTGTCCGTTCGTTTTTCCAATCGAGCTCCCCAAAGGAAGGTAAACAGTGAACCCTCTTATTATTTTGTTCGTACTCGTATATCATGTTAGATATACATCATGCTCATTCCATCGATTCTTGTTTGATTGATCGCTTCATATGATCGTTGATTTCAAATATTTGTTCGTGTGAAATCGTGAATTTACATGGACATGGTGGAACTCTAGTTTTTGAAAATATCGAGTGTTTTTGCTGCTGTAATTGATTCATTTGAGTTCGGAGTCTCGTTGTATGCTTCCGGGTTGTCATATTATTGTTCATACATATATATTCCGTTCAAGCCTTGTTGTTGCGTATAATCTGGAATCGAGTATCTTTGCTTGTTGTTGTGGTTATGTTGTACTTCAAAGTCTCGTTTTACTCTTCCGAGCCTTGCCATCGTTGGTATGTCGTTCATTTGTTTTTAAAACCACGTATTGTCGTTACGACCCTTTAGACCCAGCTTTTAATGTTATTCGGAACTTTGTAAATGTGTTATTTTCGTAAACGTTTTATATATTCTGGTCCTGATTGCCTTTGGTAATAGCATTGTCGAGTTCGAATTCAATTTGCTGTGATTTCACAAGTTCTGTAAATTTGCCGAGCTCTGTTTCTCAAATTTCATTCGCAGGTTTTATTGTAAATTCATTTGTTAAAGCTTGCAATTTAAGTCTCAAATAGCTGTGTAGTCCAGCGGATTCCGTTCCCATTTCCTTGCAAGAGGTTCCGTGTTCAACTCTTGGTACCCGCATTTCATTTTTAATTTCCCTACCTGGTGCGAGAGCTCTCCAGCCCGCTTCCAGGCCGCGCGCGGCCCGATATCGCCCTTAGCAGTCAAGGCCTGCGAGCCCAGTTACGGCCTGCTCTAGCCCGCGCCCTCTTTCCTCATAACAGGCCGTTTTCTTCGGCCAAACCAACACACCAGCAGCCCATTTTGCTCGTACACGCGGCCAAGAGTTCGAGGAAATGGCCAGCGCGACCCAGTTAGCTTTTTAGCCCAAAATTTGTGTTCCGGAGACCCTTTTTAATACCGATTTCAATTTTAGAAATATTTTCAAATGAGACAAATTTGGAAAAAATTATTTTAAGTCCCGAGACTCCAATTAAGTTCTCTAAGTCCTATTTTTCTAAAATGAGAGAGTTTCAAGTCCACGAAAAATCTGATTAAAACCCTTAAGTCTTAATTTTTATTAAGTATGGGTTTTATGATAAATTCGAATAGTGAGATGGTGCATTGATAAATGATTTGAGGAGTCGAGCCTCATCCTACGTACTAGATTTTGTGTGCTTTTCTACCGATTTACCAGGTGGGTTTTATTTGAAAAATTTGTTATGCCTTAAATGTTATTATTGTTTAAATTGTGGTATGATCAAGGTATGCATGTGAATCATGTAGCGTTCAGTGTGAGCTGTACCAGCCACCGAACGGTTATCCCCTTGTTAAGATTTCCCCTAAGACCCACGGTGGGCCATATCGATATAAGTCACATGGCGATACCTTCGATATGTTTGTTCGATGTAAGTCACATGACGATGCTTTCGAAATGAATGTCGATGTAAGACACATGGCAATGCCTTCGACATGTACTCCTACGAGCTAGTTGACGATGTAAGACACACGGTGATGCCTTCGAAGATACTAGCTGTAGCTAATGATAAGTGTGTACACATGAGTGTTGATTATTGATATTATTGATAGGGATTGGGATAAGTAATTGTTTCGTATACATGCTGAGACCATACCTTTTGATTATGGATTACTGTTTACTATTGAGATTAACGTTTACGGCATAGTGGTGAGAACTACTGTTTCCTCTTGTGCTCATCCCCACCTGCTCTTCATTGATGCAGGTTAGTGTTGCGGCACGGTCGAGGGATGCGAGTGTGGTCATAATAAATTGTTACTGCTTCCGCTTGAAACTGAAATATTGTTATTATTCTTTGATCGATTTCAGGATTATTGTTAGAGAATGTTTTCCCTGGGATTTTATGAGTATTGATTATTGAACTATGTTTTTTATTATTTATTATTGATAAATAAATAAAGAGAATTGAGTATTGATGATTGGTTGAATCTGATATTGTTTTGATAATGAGTAGCGCCTCAAGTGTTTTGAAAATAAACTTCGAAAAATTTATCTTGAAATTTGGCAATAAAAGTGAGGCGTTACAGTATGGTATCAGAGCCAGCCTGCGTTTCTGTAGACTGGTCTAAGTTATGAAAATTTGATTATGTGAATATATGCATGACATTGTGATATGACCACTCGCTCTCGTCGTGTCGCGCCACTCAGGTATGAATACATGAATACTTTATGATTATTGTTCATTGCTTTATTATTGATTACTGATATAGAAATCGAGGCTTAGGATTTATCCACCTTTAAATGTGAACTCTAGTGTCGAACTCTAGACTTCTTTTATTAATTGTGCTAAACTCTTTCGGCTCGTTCTCAATGTAGAATTATGGCTCGTCAAACCCGCAATAACAAGCAACAACCGCCTCCACCTCCTCCTCAGCAGCAGGCCCCGGGTAGAGATCCCATTACCCAGTTTGTGCTCAATTTCTGTAACATGCATCCTCCGGCGTTCACAGGGGTTGAGGGCCCCGAAGCTGTGGCCGAATGGCTTCAGCAGCTAGAGAGTATCTTCGATATGCTATTCACCACTGATGAGGTGAAAATCCGTTGTGCTTCATTCATGATGACCAGAGATGCTAGGACTTGGTGGACCGACTATTGGCGGCTTCGTCCTCGTGCTGAGAGGGATGCCTTGACTTGGGACCAGATGGTTGCTATAGTCAAGGACAAGTATTACCTGGATGCTTACCGTGCCCAGATGATGAAGGACTTCTGGAAGCTTAAACAGGGATCCCGTCTTGTGGATGTCTACGAGCGCGAGTTCACCCGTATGTGCGCGTTTGCCTTGATGCTTGTAGATACCGATTAGAAGAAGGCCTTTCGTTTCCGTGATGGTCTTCTCCCTGACCTTTGCTATACCCTGACTGGCCACGGAGTTCTGCCTTACTCCAAGATGGTCCGCCGAGCTACCGAATTGGAGGTTTGCCAAAATGCCCAGAAGGCGGCTATTCCATCATATCAGCAGGCCCAGATGGTTCCGCCAGTTTCAGCAATTGCACCTGGTTCTAATTCGGGCAAGAGGAAGGCTGATTCCCACCGGGATTACCGGAAGGAAAACGTGGAGGATCAGATAGACATGGCGACCGCCCCGTTGTTAGAGGTATGCTGTAAAAGCTGTGTTTTGCAGTTTCTATCAATTCC